GCGCCCTCTAGCGGCGAAAATTACATATTGTGCCTTTAAAATCCATTAATATGTGCAGACTTCAGCACTAGTGTCTGGTGTTTTGATTAGAGCGTCTCTGTCTGTCCGTCCGTCTCTCAGGATCTCCTCTGAAGCCGCGGAAGGAGCTGCTGTTTGTGGAGCAGCCATCAGGACTGCTGGAGGTTCGCTGGTCGTCCCGCTTTAACGTCTCCGTGGAGCCGGTGCTTTACGTGCTGCAGCGACGCTGGAACTTCGGCATCCATCCCAGTGAAGATGACGCTACGCCGTGGCAGGACGTCGCTCAGGTCAGGCCTTTCACCCATTCGTGCAACTATATGCATCTTAAAAACATGACACTATTTAATTTAGCAACCCAGCTGACACTTAAAAGAAAATTAAAGGAGTAGTTCACTTCCCGAATAAAAATCTCCTGATAATTTATTTTATTTATTCTGACAATATTTTGAATTAGCTTTTACTTTTATATTTTCCACTCAATTAAAAACCGACAAATAAAATCAAGTCTTTTTTTATGCTTTTTCTTGTTCAATAGCCATTTTTCCCCTCGGAAATTCATCACAATTCAATAGTAAAATTGGAAAGCTTTTGTTTCATGCCAACTTTACTGCAAAAAAATGATGTTCTATTTTAAATTATTAGAGAGACATTTCCTTAAGATAATAAGTTTTGTTTTCTGAAAAATGTATCAAAATTAAGCGACATTGGCAGATATTTGTTCTTGTTTTAAGCAAAAACTCTCTACATTTTGATACGAAAATGAAAATGAAAAGTAATTTTTCTTCAGTAAATGTATCTTGATTTAAGAATGTTTAGATATTTGTACTGGAAAACAAGAAGTTAGAACGTCATTTTTTGCAGTGTTTAAGCAAATACACAGATGCTCAGATGTCTCGCCAGTCTTTCATGTTTTAAAATAGATCAGATTCCAAGCTCATATTTAGGGTCGCATGTATGTGACCCTGTGACCTCTGGCCATGACCTTTGACCCCTGTGCCCCTCAGGTTGCTGAAGAGCGCGTGCTGCTGAGCGACGTCCGGCCGAGCAGGTGGTATCAGTTCCGCGTGGCGGCGGTGAACGTTCATGGCACCCGCGGCTTCACGGCTCCCAGCAAACACTTCCGCTCGTCCCGAGGTGAGTCTGACAGATTTACAGTCCTCACAGGTGCAGCCCTTCACCTGCTGCTCGCTGTAGGCCTGATTTACTCCCTGAGCTACTATTTAAGCTTCTTCTTCTTCTTCTTCTTCTTCTTCTTCTGAGACTAAGTTTAGTCAGTATCTCCTACTAGAGTTTTGAAGCTACTACCTCCAAACTCGGCTTAGACCTTCAGACTTTTAGTTTTAGTGGATGATAATAACCCTGATAATGACTGAATGCTGATTTCTGATTTCTTTAACAAGCTTGAACCTGACTCGTGCTGCTCTGATAGATTTACTCTCACTGTAGATGAGAGAGCAATGGTTATGGCAGTGAGACTCTAAGTCCTGATGATGTGTGAGATGTATAAGACACGTTAAAGGGATAGTTCACCCAAAAATGAAAATTAGCCCATTATT